CAGCAGAGGCAAAACATTGCTGGTGTGGAAGGGATTGCTTCAAAATCCAGCGGTGTCTGCGAACTGCAGAGTTAGACTGGGAAGAAAAAGAGTAGGCATCTAAGGATGCTTGATGGTGGGTCGGTGCTGCGGCGCAACGCGTGGGGAAACTCCATCAGGTGGCCTGGATTTGGGAAGGGGGGTTCTCTAGGGCGGGCAGGCGGTGAAAACTAGTGAAAACAAGCCCGGGGGGGGTCAGCTTGGTCACGGCCCCAGGCTGGGCCAGTGAGTTTGCTGGGGTGAGCCAGGCTTACTCCCATCCCTGCCTCCCTGCGATGGAGCTTGTACCCTGATAATTGCAATGAAAGCGGCAACCAGGTTGGTAATTTTACTGAGCTCTTTTCAGTTCTAATTAACATTATTCATTCCTTGTGTGTCCTGCTGGGTTGAGACAATCTGTGCTCTCCAGTCCAGCCCTCTGGAACACCAGCGATCTGCACAAGAGGCAACGACAAAAAAAAAAAAAAAAAAAAAGTGTTGTGCCAATTACTACACTCCAGTAATTAAAAACCTCCTTCCCCCCACTGCTGGGCCACCTCCTCTCCCGTCATTTTCTGTGTGCAAACTCGCGAAAGCAAAGCGAGAAATTCAGGAGGGCATGTCATCGCTGCCGTGTGCCATCTGTGGCTGCGCCGAAGGTGCAGGGGGGTACCGGGGGGCCGTATGAAGCACGGGCGGGATCAGTGGTCAGGGCGCTCAGATCTGGCACCCTGTTGCTTAATTATTCTTCCTACGCGATGGCGGCTGCTGTGATTTGGTCGTGGGCTCTTTGGGGGCAGGTCTATGTCTGCGAAACAGCTGGCTCCCCTCTGGCCAGGGCTGTCTTGTCCCCACTGAGGGCTTTGTTGGCGTTTTCAGCCTTGTTTGTCTTTGTGCTTGCGTTACCTAAGGTGGCAGAAACCTGATGGTGATGCTTTCCCCCTTCCAATTTCCATCTCCAGCTGCTGTCCCTGCAGCCAGGCGGGCTGTTGGCTTCCCCCGGGGACCCTTTGCGTGGGGTGCGGAGGGTGCAGGCGCGAGGGCTTTGGCTCCATGAGCTCAGCCCCTCCGGCTGTGGGGATGCTGGTTGGTTTTGAGGGAGAGCGGCCAGTCCTAACGGACCGGTTTGCTTGTTAGAGGGTGGACGGCAAAGCCGAGCAGCTTTGGCTGCAGGAGATGCTAACGGGTCTGGAAAGGGCATCCCCAGCCTGTGCCTGTATCCCCTTTGCACCCGTGGTGGCATCGTGTGGGACAAGGGGATGAGCCAGCAGGTTGGGACAGGTAGGGAAGATGAATTCACGCAGCTCTCGCCTTTGGTCGGTGCACACAGCTGTCTTGAAATGCCCAAACTACATCGCTCGTGGTCGTTTTGAAGTGTCCTCGGTGGCAGCAGGGAGCTGTGAGGGTCTGGTGCAGCGTTGAGGAGCGCCATCTCTCTGCAAACCCTCACTGCCTACCCCCGGGGTGATGCAGCAGTGGTGTGTTCGCAGTGTTCCCACCTCCCCGGAGAAATAAAACAACCCTGAGGCTCAGGACTCTGGCTTCAGAGGGAAAGAAACAGCAGAGAGAGGGAGCGGTATCACCTCCTCCGTGTGCTGACAGTTGGCAGTTTTTTGTCTTCCTGGAGGAGAAGGCCTTGCCTTCAGAGCAGGAACGTAGCAAGGATTAAGGATCTTGAGAGAGAAAATTACCTCATCTGTGCTTAATTATTTTTACATCTCCTTTTTGGAGGCAAGCGCTGTTTTCCGGCACCCCGGGGACCTCTCTCTCCCCTCCCTCCCTGGCACATGGCGGGGGAGAGGGAAAGGCGAGAACCTCCAGCGAGGTTGGAGGAAGCATCTCAGGGGCTTTGCACCTTGCCAGGAGCCGGGTGGGAAGGGGGAGGCTGCAGCCTCGGCGGTGGCTTTGCCCTCCAATGGTGCTCGGAGCCTGGCTTGGTGGTCGAAGCCGAAGGCTTTCCGCTCAGCTGCCTGCGTGCCGGAGAGGAGAGCTTCCCATCCCTGTGTCGGGAGAGAGGAGCTGCTGGAGGAGGGACGGGGGAGCAGATGGAGGGGCTGGAAGAGCATCGGGTCGCTGTGGCGAGCCGTGGCCACGGGGGACCCTGAGCGGCGGTTGTGCGAGGAGGAGCGGGGTTGGCACGGTGGTGGGAAGGAGCTCGGGTAGGAGCAGGACCTGCCATCCCCTAAATAGCACATCGTATCCAGAGGTCAGAGTGGGTCTTTCCCAGGAGCTGTTTCTGCACTTTATTTTTTATATATATATATAGGCTCGGGAGCTTTAAGAGGCAGGGAAAGAAAATAAAATAACAACTTTAAGCCTGCCGATCCCAGGGACAGAGAAGCGTGTCTAGGTGATAAGAAGAGATTGTGACCGGGTGCTGTGAAGGGCGAAAGCACTTATTTCACTGTTGCCTCATGCGTTACCTGAGCCCCGTTGCTTTTCAAAAGCACTTAAATGCCCATATGATAGAGGGAATGCTTGGATTACACACTGTCTGGCTCCATTATTATCCAGGGATCTCCAAGCTGATGCATTTCACAAAAAAACTGGCGCGGAGGAGGAGAGAGGAAATATATATATATTTAGTTCAGCCTGCTTACAGGTCCTCAGGGATAATCCCCACAGAAGGGACCGGTCCGAGAAATTCAGGCCACGTCTGGCTTCTCATCACCCGGTCCTTCTCCGTGGTACGGCTTTGGCAGTGAGGGCGGACACCCCCGTGTCTGTGCAGAGCCGATTTCATGGCGTTGCGATGGGCAGACCAGAGCCGAGCACCAAATACCCACCTGCATTTTATTCAAACCCCATAGGTCCAAGCCACCAGCAGAGCTGAGGTCCAGAGTACAGTATGCTAAAGCCGTCCCCTGGGAAGACATCTCAAGTTTTGTTCAACTTGAGCAACTCAACTTTGAGGTTTTTCTCAAGTTGTAATGCAGCTGAGAGCAACAGCCGAGTTCTTGGTGTTCAGCCCAGGCTGAATCTATTGCTTTTTTTATGTAGATAATAAAAATCTGCTCGCATTTAATTTATTATTATCGTAATATCATTATGGAACAGCAGTAAAATTGTTTAATTTATCGGATGTTTTTCGCACCAGAGAAGGAGGATGGTGCAGTCGCTTGGGTACTTGCCTGGCAAATCAGCGGGGGAGTTGTGGGCTGCAGAGTACCCGTCTCGCCTTGGGCACATCATCTCATGGGGATCCCTCAGCCCTGACCCCCAAACGTTGTGCGTTGAGGCCGGGTGGATTATTTAGGCTCTTCCTGTAATTGCTGGGGCCAAAGGGATGCCTCCAAAAATAGGCTAGATGAGATGAGACAGCTTGTCCCCAGGTGGGTGCCTGTGCCTTCGCTGGCATCAGTAGTGGACATGAGAAGAGAAGGAGCCCACCAGCGAGGAGACAGACGGAGAGAGGCTGTAGACGGCTGCGTGAACCTCAGCGAGGACTTGAGCCATCTTGCTTTTATTATTACTACTTACCCGGTGGCTCTGCCCAAGAAACAATCCCTAAAGTGTGAGGATAAGTCCCTGACGGACCGCATGCCGCAGATACATCCATCCATCCATCCCTGGCGTGAACCTCCCCTGCTACAGCGGTTCGGCACGTATAGCCCATTAAACCCCCTGCATTCGTTGAGGTTACCCCGTGCGAGACCTCCCAGAGGCTGCCGCGATCTTTTCCGGCGCCTCCGAAGTTAATTTGCATCCCAGCCCGCTGCACAAGTAATGAAGTAGATTGGGGAGAATATAAACAGTGGATCTGAGGCTGAGTGGTTTTATGGAGGGACATTATCCTCCGTCGCCGGCATCCAGCAAAGCGCGGCTCAGTCGGAATGGCGCCGTAATCCCGAACTTGCTCGCTCGGAGAGAAGCAGGTTTTTAGCCGGCTTGGGGCGCCGCGGGTTTCTGCTGCTTAGGGAAAGGCTTGGAGAGCAGAGCCTGTGTCCTTCACCGATCTGGGGACGATTCGTGGAAACGGAGGGTTCAACCCTTGCCTGGGGGCCTGGGGATGGAGGGTTGCAGGGCTGGCAGAGACCTTCAGGAGGAGCAAGGCTACCCCCAGTAACGTGGACGGGAAAATAATCTCCTGCGGGAGCAAAGACTCTCCTAGGTTTGCGCCGTATTGTCTTCTGAGGGGGCACAGTGCCTTAGGCAGGCAGGATATAGGAGCTTTCTGCCTCCAAAACATCACTCGATAAGCGAAATGCTTAGCTGGGGCGAGGGGCGGTAAGTGAGGGAGATGCAGCGATGCAGATGATGGGTAGGGAAGGAAGAGCTGACAGAGGGGACGAATGGTGGGAAGCTCAAGGTTTCTCTTTAGAGGGGTGTCAGAGTGGGCTTTCTCCCGAGAAAAATGTCCCTCGCTCCTCTGTGAAGCAGAGCGAGCTGCTCTCCCAGCTCCGCTTCGCGTGTCTTTGCACGGCTGCAGGGATACGAGGGTCTGCGGGCAGAATGACAAGTGATGGGTTTGGGCAGGAGGTAGCAACCTGCCTCCTTCCCCCCAAAAATGTGTGGTTTGGACTCAGGATGGAGGTCTTGGCTCAGCTCAGGTTCTCTCTGAGGTTGCAAAGGAGCAAATGTGAACAGAGGGGTGAAAGGTCCTTCGGTGGCTGGTGCTGGGTGGCTCTGACCTCTCTACATCTGAAATCATCGTGAAGCTCTTGGCCAAATCTCTGGAGCCACCAGTTTAGATGGATGTCGGTGCCCTCAACACCGCACGTAAAGTGCTGACGTGGTCCTCTTTGGACACTGAAAGCGCTTGGTATCTGAAACTGCTGCTGGCAGCAAAGCTAAAAATAGTGCCAGGCGGAGCAGGAGGGGCTGGGGACAGGGGGGCAGAGCACCCAAGAGCAGCGCGCTGATGGGTCACCTCTCTGCTTTCTCCCCAGGTGCTCCGTGGATAACCGAGTCAC